TTAGACGACGTGCTCAACCCGCCGACTGGCCTCGTCCTGGGTGCGGCCGGGGTGTACCTGGCGACGTTTCTAGGCGGGGGCTGCCGCCTTTCTCTGGAGTGCCGTGGGAGGACGGGGCGGAGGTGCTCCCCTGATGCCGTCAGGGCCAACTGCGATCCAGTCCGACCCGATTCGATAGGCTCGATTCGATTTGACTCCGGTATCCCGACGATCCGGTTCGGGCCGCGGCCGATTCGATTCGATTCCGATTCCGTGCCGCTGCAGTCGTGTTCCACACACGTTCGAATTATATCGGGTTTCCAGTTTCGATGCACAATGATCCCCCCCAACGGCTTACCGATTTTTCTCGAAGGGACTTCCGGGAATGCAGACAGACAAGGCGATGCAAGTCGACATAATTTAATGTAAACGCATATAGAACGCGATTATTCCCGAGATCTCAAGACTCAATGTCGTCAAGCCGTTAGCGAAGGAGGACTCCAACTACACATCAGTCCGGATCCTGGCCATTTACATCCTGCGACCAGGATTAGCGCGTACGCCTTCATGGCCAATCTAGGAGGGCGTATGCATCAGTTCTGTTCTTACGATTCGCCTGGCGCAAATCGGTGTCTGCATTTTTTGTTTTGTTGTTGTTGTCGTCGTTCTGTGAGGAATGAGGAGATGCAGGAGATGGAGGAGGAGGAGGAGGAGGATGAAGAGGTGGAGGGGACTTCCTATTCTCGCCCCCTTCTTCCTCTCCTCGTCCTCTTCTCCCTTACTTTCGTCTTCTCCCTTTCCTCTTACCCCCTAGTCAGCAGCTTATTGACGCCGTCCACAGCCACTCCCGTCTCAGCTCGTCCTGTGAGCTGTGCTCCGAACCGTGGGCCACATAGGCTATGTCGTAAGCGGGCTCCGCGCAGCCGTCCTGACAGTATTGGGCTAAATCTCGTCGAACGCAATCTGCTCCTGATGTCCCTGTGGTCCTATGCTGCGCGACACTTCTCTTTATCACAACGCATCGGGCAGCCTTCAGTGGCGTCTCAGAAATAGTGCTCACTGGTGAGGCTGAGGGAGGCCACGTCTCCCGTGTACTTGCACTCTTGGGCTGTTCTGATGCTCTTTGGGAGCATGCTGGGCCGTCTGGGGCGTCCAGAAGCTCGGAAACGCAGTACCCCAAAATTGTCGGAACTCACAGACAGGGGAAATTTAAGCTTGCGAGTCGTCGAGGCTTTTTCGGGAGTCCTCTTGGACCCTCTCTTGGTGGTGTTGGCTCCCTCGGCAGCCGTCTTGAGGGCTGGTTGGGCCGTCTTCGGGCGCTCTTGGGCCGTTTCGGACTGGCATCGCCCAGGCATGCCTCTGCGACGTGCTGCTCGGCTCGCCAAGGGGCGATGCGCGCTGAGAGCTCTCGTGCTGTATGTTCGGTGGCGGGCCCTTTCTGGACATACCGCCCGAAGATGCTTCTACTTAGTACTATATGTTCGGTTTGGACGTGCGCCTCAAAGCGGGGTACATACGAGTATGTGCTTCTGCGACTGGTCGGAGCTTCCTGGAGCCGCCTGGGGACCAGTTGGGGCAGTCAGGAGGTCTGGGGCAGATGAGTCCGCCTGGGCCGTCTACCCGATCGTCGGAACATCTCGCATGCCTGGTGACCTCGGCGAATTTTTGCCAGACCTACCATTGGGACGGATCCCGCGAAGCGAGCGGCTTTCCAGCCTTACAGCGTCTTTTGATTGTTTCCTTAATCTCTGGGTGACCTCGCGTTTGCGCATCATGCAGCATGGTGTGGACCATGAGAAATGGCCTGCGATATTTGAGTGTGCATCGCCACCTGCCTTGATACGCACTAGCGCCAGGGTGGTTCGGATATGGTTGTTGTTGTTGGCGATGTTGTTGTTGGTGTTGTCGTCGTCGTCGCTGTTGTTGTTACTGTTGTCGTGGTGGTGGTGGTGGTTGCTGTTGTTGTTGCTGTCGTTGGTGTTGTTGTTGCTGTTGTTGTCGTCGCCGTAGATTTTGTTGTTGATTATGCGGATGATGCTGATGATGTCGTTGTCGTTGTTGGCGTTGTTGTTGTGGTTGTTGAGGTTGTCGTTGTTGGCGTTGTGGTTGTGGTTGTTGTGGTCGTTGTTGCTGTCGTTATCGTTGTCGTTGTCGTTGTTGTCGTTGTTGTTGTTGTCGTTGTCGTTGTCGTTGTCGTTGTTATTGTTGTTGTTGTTGCTGTTGTTTTTGTTGTTGTGGTTGTTGTTGTTGTGGTTGTTGTTGTTGTTGTTGTTGTTGTTTATTCGTTTCTAAAGCATAATTGTTGCTGATCTCCGCAAGCGGTTTCGCGCGCTCTTGCCTCGACGCCGGCTACACTTTCTTTGAAAGCGAGGCTCCCGTTCGAGCGTTGGCTTGACCCTAAATGTGGACCCTTGGAGGCCCAGCTACGACAACAACGGCTCCCGCTCGATAATTCCTCACAACTTACCCCGAGACACCCTGGCCAGAGAGGCCCCCGAACTCAGAAACGGCGCTCTCGCTCGAGACTTCCTTGCAATTCAATCAAGTTGGCGGAGGTCCAGCCACGACGACAAGGGCTTCTGCTCGATACTTCCGCACGATTTACTCCGAAAGCCCCTGGCCAAGAAGGCCCCCGAGCTCAGGAACGGCGCTCTCGCTCGAGACTTTCGTAACTCAAGCAAGTTGGTGGAGGCCCGGACACGGCGACAAGGGTTCCCGTTCGATATTTCTCCATAGGTTGTCCGAGGGCCCCTGGCCAGAGAGGCCCCCGAACTCAGGAACGGCGATCTCGCTCGAGATTTCCTCGCACTTCAGTCAGTGGCCGACAAGGAAGAAATTCCCCCCGAAAGGGGGTGCAATCGAAGACGAAGTGGGCGGGTATCGAGGGTTGCGGTATACGGAATGCAAGACACGCGTACCAGTAAGAGCGAACAATATTAAAATGATTGTTGTTGTTGTTGTTGCTGTTGCTGTTGCTGTTGCTGTTGTTGCTGTTGTTGTTGTTGTTGTTGTTGTTGAACTCTCATCCTTGAAGACTAGTTATTGTTGATCCCCCCCACCGGTGCACATGGATTTTTTTCTATTGAAGTGCCCGCCCCGGGGCTCGCATTTTGTTTTTTGTCAAGGAAAGTCTTCCTGCTCAAACTGGCCCCCTGGCGCCCGGGTTACAACAACAACGGCTCCCGCTTGAGACTTCCTCACAATTTAGCCAGGACCCCCGCTCCCGCCCGAGACTTCCTCGCATTTTATTTAAGAATCGCGCTCTCGCTTGGGACTTCCTTACGATTTATTCAGGAATCGCTCCTCCTGCGCTCTGGAGTCGTGCTCTCGCTGGAGACTTGCTTGCAATTTACTGAAATAGCGCCCGTGCGTTCGAATTTCTTGCAATTTACTCCAGCGCCGCGCTCCCGACACCCAGGCACCCTGGAGTCGCGCTCACGCTTAGGACTCCTTCACAGATTACCTAGGAATCGGGATCTCGCTGCCCTTCGTGGCCCCGTTGCAGCCCTTCGTGGCCCCCTCGCTTTGTTTCGTGGCGCCGTTGCAGCCCTTCGTGGCCCCCTCGCTTTGTTTCGTGGCCCCGTTGCAGCCCCTCGTGGCCTTCTCGTTGCCCTTCGTGGCCCCGTTGCAGTCCTTCGTGGCCCCCTCGCTTTGTTTCGTGGCCCCGTTGCAGCCCTTCGTGGCCCCCTCGCTGCCCTTTGTGGCCCCGTCGCAGCCCTTCGTGGCCCCGTTGCAGCCTTTCGTGGCCCCCTCGCTGCCCTTCGGGCTCCGTTGCATCCCTTCGTGGCCCCCTCGCTGCCCTTCGTGGCCCCATATATGAATGCCTTTCGTGGCCCCTGCTCGTTCGCGTCCGTGGTGGCCCCATATGCATATGTCCTACGTGGCCCAGTTGCTACCCTCAGTGGCCCCATCGTTGCCTTTTGTGACCCCGCATTATCTGCCCTTCGTGGCCCCCGCTCGTTCGCGCTCTTCGTGGCCCCATACGCATTCCTTTCGTGTCCCCGCTGTTGCCCTTCGTGGCCTACTTCGTGTCCTTGTGGCCCTGCTGTCGTTCTCTTTCGCTCTCGCTTTCGCTTGTCGCCGTCATCGTCGACGTCGTCGTCGTCGCCGTCGTCGTCGACGTCGTCGTCGTCATCGTCGTCGTGTTCGGTCCCCTGTCCGTCCCTTTCGGGGTCGGGTCGACGGTCCGCGGCCGCCCCGCCGATCAGCGCTGCTGCTGGCCAGGCCGACGGTCCGCGGCCGCCCCGCCGCTTGCCGGGGCCTGGCCTGCAGGGAAGAAAGGTACACCCCCCCAAGAGGGGTTCGAACGAAGACGAAGAGGGCGAACAGTCTTAAAATGATTGTTGTTGTTGTTGAACATTATTTATTCTAAAAAATAATTATTGTTGGGACCCCTGGTGCGCGGCCCCCTCGCCGCGCCTAGGCCGCAGCCACATTTTCATCATTTTCGTGAGGAAGTCTCAGGCAAAACGTGGGTGTCCGGATCCGGTTGTTTTGTTGTCCCCCGTTTTCCCTTGCAAAAAATAAGCTAAAGTGGACATTTCTTGTTCTAACATAACCAAACTTCAAGAATCCCTTGCAAAAAAATAAGGTAAAGTGGACATTCGCGCGCGCAAGACGAAATCCTTCCAAAACCTTAGTGTTCGTAGCGATTCAACATAAAAACATTAAAAAAACATTTTTTTTTTAGTGTCAAAATTTCATCCCGCGCGCTCTTGCGGATTTGTCGGAAACCCAACACTTTTTAAACATTTCTGTCAAATGGGCTTTTCCGAGCAACTTGTTCACGTGCTTCGAACTTCTCCAACAACCGTTGCGCACCTGCCAGGGTCATCATCCCTGTCAAATAATACCATGCGGGACACATTCGTTTTTTCTTTGCGCGCGCACGCCGAAATCTTCAAAAACCATTGGGTTTCGTAGGAATTTTAGCACCGCGCAACATAAAATCATACGAATCGCACCGTGGGACCTCGAAAATCGTCGTCGGCATGTTACCACAACAAGTCCGTGTGTCACCACGTCATCGAACAAAATCACTGATCACTGTCACATCCGTAGCCATCTCGGATCAAGGTATCGCCTGTGTTCTTG